CAAGAATACTATATCCAGCTAGGCTGTCATTGAAAATAGAAGGAGAGATCAAAAGCTTCCAGGACAAACAAACACTAATGGAATTCGCAAACACGAAACCAGCCCTACAAGAAATCTTGAAAGGGGTCCTCTAAGCAAAGAGAGAGCCTAAAAGCAACATAGACCAGAAAGGAACACAGACAATATACAGTAACAGTCACCTTACAGGCAATACAGTGGCACTAAATTCATATCTCAATAGTTACCCTGAATGTAAATGGGCTAAATGCCCCAATCAAAAGACAGAGGCTATCAGATTGGATAAAAAACAAGATCCATCGATATGCTGTCTGCAAGAGATTCACTTGAGACCCAAAACACCCCCAGATTGAAAGTGAGGGGGTGAAAAACCATTTACCATGCTAATGGACACCAAAAGAAAGCTGGGGTGGCAATCCTTATATCAGACAAATTAGATTTTAAACCAAAGACTGTAATAAGAGATGAGGAAGGACACTATATCCTACTTAAAGGGTCTATCCAACAAGAAGATCTAACAATGGTAAATATCTATGCCCCTAACATGGGAGCAACCACCTATATAAGCCAATTAATAACAAAAGCAAAGAAACACATCAACAACAATACAGTAATAGTGGGGGACTTTAACACCCCCCTCAGTGAAATGGACAGATCATCTAAGCAAAAGATCAACAAGGAAATAAAGACTTTAAATGACACACTGGACCAGAATACCAAAGTATTCTTTGTGCATCTCAAAGCAACAGAATACACATTCTTCTCTAGTGCCCATGGAACATTCTCCAGAATCGATCACATCCTAGGTCCCAAATCAGGTCTCAACCGGTACCAAAAGACTGGGATCATTCCCTGGATATTTTTAGACCACAATGCTTTGAAACTAGAACTCAATCACAAGAGGAAAGTCGGAAAGAACTCAAATACATGGAGGCTAAAGAGCATCCTACTAAAGAATGAATGGGTCAACCAGGAAATTAAAGAAGAATTAAAAACATTCATGGAAACCAATGAAAATGAAAACACAACTATTCAAAATCTTTGGGATCCAGCAAAGGCAGTCCTAAGAGGAAAGTATATAGCAATACAAGCCTTTCCCAAGAAACAAGAAAGGTCTCAAATACACAACCTAACTCTACACCTAAAGGAGCTGGAGAAAGAATAGCAAATAAAGCCTAAACCCAACAGGCGAAGAGAATAAAGATCAGAACAGAAATCAATGAAATAGAAACCAAAAGAACAGTAGAACAGATCAATGAAACTAGGAGCTGGTTCTTTGAAAGAATTAACAAGATTGATAAACCCCTGGCCAGACTTATCAAAAAGAAAAGAGAAATGACCCAAATCAACAAAATCATGAATGAAAGAGGAGAGATCACAACCAACACCAAAGAAATACAAACAATTATAAGAACATACTATGAGCAACTCTATGCCAGCAAATTAGATAACCTGGAAGAAATGAATGCATTCCTAGAGATGTATCAACTACCAAAACTGAACCAGGAAGAAAGAGAAAACCTGAACAGACCTATAACCATTAAGGAAATTGAAGCAGTCATCAAAAATCTCCCAACAAACAAAAGCCCAGGACCAGATGGCTTCCCAGGGGAATTCTACCAAACATTTCAAGAAGTATACATACCTATTCTTCTGAAACTGTTCCAAAAAATAGAAATGGAAGGAAAACTTCCAAACTCATTTTATGAGGACACCATTACCTTGATCCCAAAACCAGAAAAAGACCCCATCAAAAAGGAGAATTACAAACCAATGTCCCTGATGAACATGGATGCAAAAATTCTCACCAAAATACTAGCCAATAGGATCCAACAGTACATTAAAAGGATTATTCACCACAACCAAGTGGGATTTATCCCTGGGCTGCAAGGTTGGTTCAACATCCACAAATCAATCAACGTGATACAATACATTAATAAAAGAAAGAACAAGAATCATATGATCCTCTCAATAGATGCAGAAAAAGCATTTGACAAAGTACAGTATCCTTTCTTGATCAAAACTCTTCAGAGTATAGGGATCGAGGGCACATACCTCAATATCATAAAAGCCATCTATGAAAAACCCACAGCGAATATCATTCTCAATGGGAAAAACTGAGAGCTTTCCCCCTAAGGTCAGGAACGCGGCAGGGATGTCCACTATCACCACTGCTATTCAACATAGTATTACAAGTCCTAGCCACAGCAATCAGACAACAAAAAGAAATAAAAGGCATCCAAATCAGCAAAGAAGAAGTCAAACTCTCACTCTTTGCAGATGATATGATACTTTATGTGGAAAACCCCAACGACTCCACCCCAAAACTGCTAGAACTCATACAGGAATTCAGTCAAGTGGCAGGATATAAAATCAATGCACAGAAGTCAGTGGCATTCCTATACACCACCAACAAGACAGAAGAAAGAGAAATTAAGGAGTCGATCCCATTTACAATTGCACCGAAAAGCATAAGATACCTAGGAATAAATCTAACCAAAGAGGCAAAGGATCTGTACTCAGAAAAGTATAAACTACTCATGAAAGAAATTGAGGAAGACACAAAGAAATGGAAAAACGTTCCATGCTCATGGACTGGAAGAACAAATATTGTGAAGATGTCAATGCTGCCTAGAGCAATCTACACATTCAATGCAATCCCCATCAAAATACCATCCACTTTTTTCAAGGAAATGGAACAAATAATCCTAAAATTTGTATGGAACCAGAAAAGACCCCGAATAGCCAGAGGAATGTTGAAAAAGAAAAGCAAAGCTGGCGGCATCGTAATTCCAGACTTCCAGCTCTATTACAAAGCTGTCATCATCAAGACAGTATGGTACTGGTACAAAAACAGACACATAGATCAATGGAACAGAATAGAGAGCCCAGAAATGGACCCTCAACTCTATGGTCAACTAATCTTTGACAAAGCAGGAAAGAATGTCCAATGGAAAAAAGACAGTCTCTTCAACAAATGGTGTTGGGAAAACTGGACAGCCACATGCAGAAGAATGAAACTGGATCATTTCCTTACACCACACACAAAAATAGACTCCAAATGGTTGAAAGATCTCAACGTGAGACAGGAGTCCATCAAAATCCTAAAGGAGAACACAGGCAGCAACCTCTTCGACCTCAGCCGCAGCAACTTCTTCCTAGAAACATTGCCAAAGGCAAGGGAAGCAAGGGCAAAAATGAACTACGGGGACTTCATCAAGATAAAAAGCTTTTGCACAGCAAAGGAAAGAGTCAACAAAACCAAAAGGTAACTGACAGAATGGGAGAAGATATTTACAAATGACATATCAGATAAAGGGCTAGTATCTAAAATCTATAAAGAACTTCTTAAACTCAACACCCAAAGAACAAATGATCCAATCAAGAAATGGGCAGAAGAGGGGCGCCTGGGTGGCTCAGTTGTTGGGTGTCTGCCTTCGGCTGGGGTTTTGATCCCAGGTTCCTGGGATCAGTCCCCGTATTGGGCTCCCTGCTCAGCGGGAAGCCTGCTTCTCCCTCTCCCACTCCCCCTGCTTGTGTTCTCTCTCTTGCTGTGTCTCTCTGTCAAATAAATAAATAAAATCTTTAAGAAAAAAAAAAAAAGAAATGGGCAGAAGACATGAACAGTCATTTTTCCAAAGAATACATCCAAATGGCCAACAGACACACGAAAAAGTGCTCAACATCGGTCAGCATCAGGGAAATCCAAATCAAAACCTCAATGAGATATCACCTCACACAGTCAGAATGGCTAAAGTTAACAAGTCAGGAAACGACAGATGTTGGCGGGGATGCGGAGAAAGGGGAATCCTCCTACACTGTTGGTGGGAATGCAAGCTGGAAAACAGTATGGAGGTTCCTCAAACAGTTGAAAATAGAGCTACCGTATGACCCAGCAATTGCACTACTGGGTATTTACCCCAAAGATACAAAAGGAGGGATCCGAAAGGGTACATGCACCCTGATGTTTATAGCAGCAATGTCCACAATAGCCAAACTGTGGAAAGAGCCAAGATGTCCATTGACAGATGAATGGATAAAGAAGAGGTGGTATATATATACAATGGAATATTATGCAGCCATCAAAAGGAATGAGGTCTTGCCATTTGCAATGACGTGGATGGAACTGGAGGGTGTTATGCTGAGCGAAATAAGTCAAACAGAGAAAGACATGTATCATATGACCTCACTGATATGAGGAATTCTTAATCTCAGGAAACAAACTGAGGGTTGCTGGAGTGGTGGGGGGTGGGAGGGATGGGGTGGCTGGGTGACAGACATTGGGGAGGGTATGTGCTATGGTGAGCACTGTGAATTGTGCAAGACTGTTGAATCACAGATCTGTACCTCTGAAACAAATAATACAATATATGCTAAAAAAAAAAGAAAAAAGAAGATGGCAGGAGGGGAAGAATGAAGGGGGGGTAAATCGGAGGGGGAGATGAACCATGAGAGACGATGGACTCTGAAAAACAAACTGAGGGTTCTAGAAGGGAAAGGGGTGGGAGGATGGGTTACCCGGTGATGGGTATTAATGAGGACACGTTCTGCATGGAGCACTGAGTGTTATATACAATGAATCATGGAACACTACATCAAAAACTATTGATGTAATGTATGGGGATTAACAGAACAGTAAAAAAAGAAAAAAAAAAGAGAGATGAGGATAAATAAGCATTTCTGGATAATGATTTGATTTCAAAATCTCTGGATGGCAAAGGTAGGATGACACTTGACCCTTCTTCATTTGTTAATTCTGTTAATACCCTTCTGAGAGGATCCAATCACTGTAGGTATGTATCCCTGCTGTTCCTTTTTCATATACCAATCCTCCTCCAGGACATTCTCCAAATCCTTCCAAATTTGCAAGTGGGTGTGAGAGAAAGGAAAACCATCCCAATCCTTTTATTCCCCACCTCAAGTTCCACTTTGTAAACTGATTAAACAAACAGGATAAATAGGCAAGAAAACCACATACTTACTTTTCATTAATTTTCCTGATAATTCCTTTAGTGGTGAAGAGGGACTATTTCTACTGGCTACTAGAAGTCTGGAGGAGGATTCTTGGGTTTCCATGGAAATTTGATGCGTTCCTGTTCTGGCCATTTCAAGATGGAGAGAATGGGCATGGTCACATTCCCGGGAAAGCAGCAAGTGATTCTGAATGTTGCTAGTTCTACTGTTCAGGTTAATTCCTTCGGATCGGGTCATAAGCAATTGGGCTGGGCTAGAATCCTCCAATCTCTTGTCAAGAGACTCAGTTACAAAAGATGTTGCAGTTTCATGCTTTTTAGATGGAGAGACAGGCTCAGCCAATGAGCTCTGCTTCACAGTGTTCAGACTGTGTGCTCTTATTCGGGACCAAGTTGTAGAGTGAAAACTTTCAGCTTCTAACCAAAATTTAACCAAATGCTCCATTCTCCGAAGTTCCATGAATTGAATGAAATAAGGGAGGACAACAGTGTCGTGCAAGACTTGTTCAAGGGTCTTTGAAAGACTTGATTTGGTCTCTTGAGTCTGGTAGTCCAGACAAGATCTGCCTGAAAGAAGCAAAGATTAGCAGTTCAGTAACAATTTAAGATTAACGGATTTGTCAGCCACCTTTAGCATCAGTGGTACCAGAATTCTTGAATAAAGTTTATTTCCCTAGCAATTTAAATGAATAAAGAGCTAGAAATACTATCATTGTGGCTTCTAAAGTGGCAAAGAAACAAGTCTCCAAAACTTAATCCATCTATTAAAAAGCTCTAGCTCAATTATTTTTACGTAACTTTTAATGGCAGTTCAGACCATGTAAATTCTTGAGAAAAAAAAAAAAATCTTACGATACTAGCCCCAAAGAAAGAAGGCCAATAAAAATATGAAAATAGATTCAATCTAATTAAAAACGCAGAAAAGGACATTAATCAAGATAACATTTTTGTCAAACTGGAAGATGTTTTTTCAAAAAATATCAAAAACAAAGGCACAGCAGAACAGGCAACACGGCACCCACTGATGATGAAAATAAAAAACGGCAAAACCTCTTTGGAGAAGCATTCATAACAGCAAAGCTCTAATAATCTGCATGATCTGCAATCCAGTAACTCCACCTCTAGGAACTTTTCCTGAGGAAAAATGGTCCATGTGTGGATACAGCCAGAAAGATGTTACCAGCTCTCAGCATTTGTTACAACAGAATAAAGAGTAGCTCTGGGATTTTATCTTGAAAAATAAAATGAAACTTACCAAAACTTAGTAAGTTCATTTTATATGTAACTAAATTTAGGTTACGATTATAACCACAGTTATTTTTTTGTTGTTGTTTATATTTACGGCATTGACATATTGAGGTTCATCTTCATAAAATTAACAGGGTTTCATCAATTTTTCAAAAGGGCTTTTCTTAATCCTTTGATATTCAAATCATTTTCTTTTGAAGCATTTCATGTGTCATCCTTGCTGGCTGTCTCATTTTCTTTTTCTTTTTTTGAGAGAGAGGGCACACTTGAGCAAGCACAGCCCAACACGGGGCTCTATCTCATGACCCTGAGATCATGACCTGAGCCGAAATCAAGAGTGGGGCACTTAACCGACTGTGCCACCCAGGCACCCCCTGGCTGTCTCATTTTCAATGTTAACCAGTGCATCTCTGTCAACATCACTTCCTTGAACTTCAGGAAATCCTGATCCTTTGCAAGATTTACAATTTTTTAAATTAAATTTTTAATTTTGAGATAACAGTAAATTCAAATACACTTGTAAGACACAACACAGAGAGATCCCATGTACCCTTTACCCAGGTTCCCCATGCTAACATCTTACAATACTATAGTACAGTATCACATCAAGGTACCGACAGTCACAATCTTACAAGGTATGACCCACCAATCTTACTCAGATTTCCCCCATTTCACCTGTACTCACCTGTGGACTTCATTCTATGCAATGGAATCTATGCAATTTTATCATATGTAACCACCAAGATACTGAACAGTTCCAATGCCACGTGGATCCCTCATGTGGCCTTTTATAACTAACTCTTCCGTTCTTAACCTCTGGCAAACTCTCCTCAGTTCTTCATTTTCTAATTTTGTCAAATGGAATCATACTGCATATAACCTTTTGGGATTGGCTTTTGATCCTCAGCATAATTCCCTTGGGATTCATACAAGCTGTCAGGTATATCAACAGTCTGCTCTTTTTTATTGCTGACTAGTATTCTCTGGCATGCACGTACCAGTTTGTTTAACCATTCACTTGCCTGCTGAAAGTCAGTTTTTTACTTTTAAGCTGCTATGGACATTGGAGTATAGGTTTATGCGTGAATGTAAGTTTCCATTTCTCTGGGATAAAGGCCAAAGAGTGCAATTGCAGGGTCATATGACAACTGCGTGTTTAGCTCTCGAAGAAACTGCCAAACTGTTTTCCAGAGTGGCTGTACCATTTCACATTCCCACCAGCAACATAGGAGTAATCCAGTAAAACTTACAATTTTACTTTGTGATCAACAAATGCTGTTTGCAATGTACTGCTGAGCATGACCCATCAACACTTTGACACCCCTGAATATATACAAATGTTAAGCAAATATGTCAAAAGAGGAACTAATTTTATTAGACTTCAATTTATTCATTTTTTTTTCAATTTATGATACCACAACATGCAATTTTTGTAAGTGCAGAACTTTGGGTAATAAAAATTCAGAAATCATCGATCTCTTGCATATCTTTTTTGGGGGTGGGTGGGGGGAAAGGAGAAGTTATTTAAACATAATAGGGATCCTGGTACATTCATTGCTATGTGACCTGCTTTTTGCACTTTACCTTAGATATTTCTCTATGTCATCTTCAGACTTTTAAACGGCTTCCCAGTATTCCAGATGCAGGTATACCACAATTTGACTACTTCTCCATTAATAGATATTTGCATGTTGTTCCTCATTTTTTTGCTTTCACAAACAATACTGCAATAAACAGCTTTATACATACTTGTATATACATCTTTTTGCATATATGTGAATACATCTGAGGGCTAGATCTTCTATTTTATATTTCGATAAATATTTCCAAACTGCCTTCCAAAAAATCTTCATCAATTTACACTTCCACTAAATAGGAATGGCCATTTCTCTTCATCTCCATTACCACTCAAATGATCAAACTTTAATATTTGCTGATATGTTGGGGGAACATTATCTCATTACTAAAATTTGCGTTTCCCTGAGTATGAGTGAAATGAGGCATCTTTTTCATATAATTAGTGACCAAATGTATTTCTTCCCCTGTACATGGCCCATTTTTTTTTTAAGTTGAGAATGCTTTATATTTTATGCTTATGGGAACACAATAGAGTATCATTATACTTACAGCTGTTATTTTATTTTTTTAATTTTATTTATTTTTTTAAGTAGGCTCCATGCCCAGTGTGGGGATTGAACTCACAACCCTCAGATCAAGAGTCACATGCTCTACTGACTGAGCCAGCCAGCCAGGCCCCCCTATAGCTGTTATTTTAAATACATTTTTTCAAAGCCCATTCCCATTATACAGTTCTAGTATCCTCCAGCAAGAGTTTCACATAATACAATCAATCCTTCTTCCTGCTGGACGTTAACAAAAAGGGAGTCACTTACCCAGGTCACCAAAATGAGCAGCCTCCATGTGGCTTGGCTGCTTCTTAAGTGTCGCTGTCCTGCTACTTGAAAAGGAGTCCATGTTGGCAGAAATGGCATTGATTGCAACATGACTTGGTCCTGCCGCCTCCAGCAAGGCATGATTTTTAGTGCTTTTTTGTGGGGAATGTACAGATATTGAAGCTATAATTTTTTAAAAAAAGAAAAAAGGTTAAAAATTTAGCACAATTTGATAGCCTAAAAATGTCTCATAAAGGGCTTTAAGAGAACTTTAAAAATTAAATTTTGTAAACACCTCTCTTAAGTATGCACACTCAACAAAAAGTACTTAGGGGAAAGGCAATCAAGCAGCAGAAAACTGGAAAGAAATGTCCTATTATTATTTATAACTCTCAAAATACTGTGCCAAAAATGGAACTTAAAACAGAGATGTTTCTTTGAGAACTTCTACTGATGACAGAAAGTACCAAAGCCAGAAAACATTCTAATATATGGACCCTTTTCTGTTGTTTTTTTTTTTTTTTAAGAATTTATTTATTTATTTGACAGAGAGAGAGACTCCGAGAGAGGGAACACAAGCAGGGGGCATGGGAGAGGGAGAAGTAGGCTTCCCACCGAGCAGGAGTCCGAAGTGGGGCTCAATCCCAGGACCCTGGGATCATGACCTGAGCTGAAGGCAGATGCTTAGCAACTGAGCCACCCAGGTGCCCCTATGGACCCTTTTCAATTCCTTAATCCTTTTTTGTCCAAGGAACAAAACTAAACTTGTGGAATGGGGTAAAAATGAGAAAAATACTCCTCAGAATACTTATTTTACTTTTTTAAAGATTTTATTTATTTATTTGTCAGAGAGAAAGAGAGCTCACAAGCAGGGGGGAGCGGCAGGCAGAGGGAGAAGCAGGCTCCCCGCTAAGCAAGGAGCCCGATGAGGGACTCGATCCCAGGACCCTGGGATCATGACCTGAGCCGAAGGCAGACGCTTAACCGACTGAGCCACCCAGGTGTTCCTTTATTTTACTTTTTAATTGGGTAACAAAATTTCTCTAATGAAAAACTTTTATGATCAAAGTTCAAGCTGCTTAAAGATAAAGCACACTTAAAAAATTCACAAAATACATTTTCTTTAGTAGTCTGAAGAAATATCCTATTGACATCAGAATAAAGAGGTTACCCATTAACATGTTAATAGGATATAAACAACTCAGTATCACAATATTGTCAAAGTAGTCCTGTGACCTTGTTGCTACAGCTGGATCAACATTCTACCTCTCCTATTTATTCCACACAAATATTAATGACTCTTATTAAAGGTTTTTAAGAAGTGTCGGCCTAGTACATTGCTATAGCAAGGACAGAAGGGATGCCTGGGTGGCTCAGCCGGTTAAGTGTCTGTCTTCAGCTTAGGTCGTGATCCCAGGGTCCTGGGATCGAGTCCTGCATCAGGGCAGGGAGCCTGCTTCTCCCTCTGCACCTCCCTCTGCTTGTGCACTCTCTCTCTCTGACAAATAAATAAAATCTTAAAAATAAAAAAGAAATGATACAGGTCAGCCTCAAGATAAATACTCTCAGAGAACCAAACTTGAAGCTACTAGCACCATTTTTTTATTACATTGTCAACAGATAAGTGCTCTCATCTCAGCAAGCAGTTCCCAGACACAGAATCTGAGTAATACCAGGCAATATTTCTTATGAAGAATACATAGTAATGTAATTCAGTCTATTACTCTTTGAGATGCTTTTATAAATATTAAGCAGGTAAGAATGTGAATGTCCATACCTGTCTGCCAGGTATCTATATTTACTAGTGATTCAACGAGAGGTGGGAGAATGATGCATCTGAGTTGTCTTCAAGAAATTTTTAATTTCATTTATTTATTTAAAAGATTTTATTTATTTATTAGGGACAGAGAGAGAAAGCACAAGCAGGGGGAGTGGCAGGCAGAGGGAGAAGCAGGCTCCTCGCTGAGCAGGGAGCCTGATGTGGGACTCGATTCCAGGACCCTGGGATCATGACCTGAGCTGAAGGCGGACACTCAACCGACTGAGCCACCCAGGCATCCTGAAATTTTTAATTTTAGAAGTCTTTTTTTTAAATTTTCATGATAAACTGAAGAAAGCAAAATCATTTCAGCAAGTTTATAAACAGTAATAGCTAGGTTTTTTCTATAGACAACAAGCTACAAATATCATTCTATAAGAATAAGACTTTCTAATTGTTTCCTAATTAGGTATGTATGATGATACAAAATGCCATTAATATTTTTGTGCAAGGCTTTTTTTTCCTCCTCTTTCTGAACTTCTCTATTAGAACTATTAACTTACTTTAGATGTTGCTTCCAGATAGTCTATCTTCCTTTGGTCTCCATGGTACTACCTGCTCCTTAGTTTCCTTTTCTATCTGTGCCTGCCTCTCAAGCCCTTAAAACACAGTTATTAAATGCCCACTAGGGGCACCTGGGTGGCTCAGTCGGTTAAGCGTCTGCCTTTGGCTCAGGTCATGATCCCAGGTTCCTGGGATTGAGCCCTGAGTTGGGCTCCCTGCTCAGTGGGGAGCCTGCTTCTCCCTCTGCCTGCCACTCCCCCTGTTTGTGCGCTCTCTGACAAATAAATAAAATCTTAAAAAAGAAATTAAAAAAAAAAAAAAGGCCCACTATGTCAGATATGGTCTCTTTCCATGACTCCTCTTCCTGAAGTTCTCTGTTCTTTTATTCTTTCTGCTAGAAACATTTATTCTCAAACCTTTAATTATTACTGGAGCCATCTTTTCCAAACATATTATTTAAACCTGTAAGCACTCCTCTTTTTCCCCCAAATAAACTTAAGTGAGACCCTAACACATCTGTAAAATAGATAAAACTCTAAAAAATATAGGTACCTAAATCTAGATAGATATCTAAAGGAGATTAAAAAAAAGATTTAGTAACTCTGGCTGATTCAAGGGGAAAGTCTCACTCACACTGTGGCCTGGACCTCTCGGCAACAGCTCGTAGGGTACACCTCTATGGTACTGGAACCCCAGTGAAAAAGCCCTGACCTGTATCTGAGACCTGTCCTTTGATCTGGGCTTGGGGCCTGTATCTCTAATTCCTTACTGCTAGCTATTCTCACTATGACTTTACCATATCAAGACCAACTTGTCCAAATATCAAACTTACCACGTTAATTCTCCTACTCAATTTCCCCAGTCTCTGTTCAATCTGCCAGTCTCCAAAGCTCAAAATCTTGTACCCATTCTTTTTCAGTCTACATGTTTACCTGCCAAGATCGGTTAATTTTTCCTTAAAGATATTTAAACATCTACTAACCTGTTTATTACCAACACCACACCTTTAGTACAGGCCTTTCCGTATTACAGCAAAAGAACTTCTAGGGTCTCCATTCTATAGAACTCTTCCGGACTAACCTTTCATAAATACCACATGTAAAGCATCGACATCCTGTTCAAAAGCCTACAGGCTCCCTATTTTCTCTGTCGCAGCTCTCTGTTCTGGTCTTTAAGGCCCTTGTAATTGGCTATCAGTCTTCTGTAAAATTATCCTTTTAACTTGTCTGAAGGTCCCTTTGCCTAATATATACTCAAAGAAATAAGAAGCTGGGCTGGTAGGGAAAAGAGAAAGAACTGCCTCTTTCATTCAAATCCTTATTATTCAACTTTTATATAGATTAAGTCCCATTTCTACAAAATCTTCCCTACACTTCAGAAACCATTTGCTGATCTCAAATTCCTCTGAACTCCTCACAATACTTCATTTAACGAAGTCAGCATACTGAGGCCTCTTGTGCTACAACCAGAAAACAAGAGCTACCAAGGAAGTACCTCCTACACACCAGGCATCATGCCGGTTGCTTGATACACATTTTTGGGGGTACATTATTTCATTATCTCCCATAACAATTCTGCAAGACCAGCATTTTCCTCATTTTGGAGATGTGGATACAGACAGACAAAAGTTAAATACTTTGCTCTAAGTCAATGAGCTGGTAAAGAGTCCTATCAACAGGCAGGATTTCAACTTTGGTCTGCCAGACTCTAGGAAATCACCCTTTTACCTTTGGTTGGAAACTCAGACTCTAGAATTATTGTGTGGATAAAATAATATATATAAATGTCTCCAAGTACCTCCCACCCAACATGCCAAAATTGAACATATAATTTCCCAACTTGGTTCTCCACCAGTCGCACTGTTAGGCAAGCCAGAAAAGTAGGTGTTAATTTGAAACTTCCCTGTCCCTTACACCTCATATTTAATCAATAACAAAAGTTCTATCCATTTTAGCTCTAAATTGATCAATCCAGATCTCTTTATTTTCATCATTATAGATCTAGCCCATGCCATCTGTGGAATCACTTGATTAATGTTCCTCTCCCTTACCAATCTGTAAGTTCAATGAGTGCAGATCAAGTCTTTTTTGGTTTAGCCGCAGTTTTGGGCTAATGCCTAAAACAGAACAGGTGTTCAAGAAATGGTTGTTATTAGTATGTTAATAGTATGATTCTATTCCGTGTCTAAGTTCTAATCAGACTGCAAACTTCTTGAGGGCCTGTTTCCTATACTGCTTCCATATGATTCTAAGGTAAGCCAATGTAATGCTAAGCACATTATGTACTGTCACAGGGTAGGAAAATGGAATTTTTTAGCCGGGTACAGATTTAGAAGTTAGGCAGGCCAATCCTCTCCACAAATGAAGAATCTGAGGAAGGTTACATGACTTCCCAAGGTCATACTGTTAGTAGCAGAGTTTAGAGTAGAACACCTGAGAAATCTAAATGCCTGAAACATCAAATCCTTTCCTTCTTACATTCAGATCTAGTCTTTACACATGTTGCTTGCTAAGGGCTTGAAGTCGTTATGAAAGTCAATCAAATTTTGCTTAAGGAAGGCAGTATGAACCAACATGGAATCCAACTGGCTTTAAATTACCAGAAGTGAGCAGAAAATAAGACTGTCAGGTACCCTAGTTCTTCCCTAATGTTACAAATCTCGTAAGTTATAATTAGTCTCTCTCCAGCAAACTGAGCATATATAGTTAATACTCAATGCTAGCCACACAAGATACAAACATTTGAAAGAAAAAAAATCTAAGTAGCAATCTACAGATCTCAGGTAAATAAATTTTATTTATGAAATTTATATGTAATGGCTATATAATTAATTTCCATTATAATTTTCCATTCCAATCTTTGTAATTAACATAATGAAATCAGTCAAAACTATAGTAGAGATTACAACCTAAAGAAGCATGCTCTAACCTATAAACAAGGACAATATACTGATTACAATAAGGTACTCTGAATATATTTTAAGTTAAGACCATTCATCCAAAGTAACAGAGAAGTAAAAACTGTCATCATCCACACTTCTGGATAAACAGAAAACCAATCTTGTAAGTGGCAGTTCTTTACTCCAGAACTGTCAGCTCATTTCAGAGTATTTTTCACTTTTTGTTTTGTTTTTAAAGATTTATTTATGGGGTACTAGGTGGCTCAGTCAGTTAAGTGTCCACCTTCAGCTCAGGTAATGATCCAGGGTCCTGGGATCGAGCCCCGCATCGGGCTCCTTCCTCGGCGGGGAGTCTGCTTCTCCCTCTCTCTGCCCCTCCCCCACATTCATGCTCTTTCTCTCTAATAAAATAAATTAAAAAAATAAAAAAGGGGCGCCTGGGTGGCTCAGTCGTTAAGCGTCTGCCTTTGGCTCAGGTCATGATCCCAGGGTCCTGGGATCGAGCCCTGCATCGGGCTCCCTGCTCCGTGGGAAGCCTGCTTCTCCCTCTCCCACTCCCCCTGCTTGTGTTCCCTCTCTCGCTGTGTCTCTCTCTGTCAAATAAATCTTAAAAATAAATAAATAAATAAAAAATAAAAAAGATGTATTTATTTATTTTAGAGAGAGAGAGTGCGCACAGTGGGCAGGGGCATAGGGAGAGAGAGTCTGAAGCAGACTCCGCGTCAGCAGACCTGACACAAAGCCCGACGCAGAACTTGATCTCACGACCCTGAGATCACGACCTGAAACAAAACCAAGAGTCAGACACTCAACCCACCCAGGTGCCCCTCGCTTTTTGTTTTTTAAAATAAAGTCAACTACAGGGGCGCCTGGGTGGCTCAGTCGGTTAAGCAGCTGCCTTCGGCTCAGGTCATGATCCTGGGGTCCTGGGATCGAGCCCCACATCAGGCTCCCAGCTCCGCAGGAAGCCTGCTTCTCCCTCTCCCTCTGCCTGCCACTCTGCCTGCTTGTGCTCTCTCTCTCTGTGTCAAATAAATAAATAAAATCTTTAAAAATAAAATAAAATAAAGTCAACTACAAAGCATAAGAGACTCTCAACTATAGGAAACAAACTGAGGGTTGCTGGAGGGGTGGAGGGAGGGGGGGATGGGGTAACTGGGTGATGGGCATTAAGGAGCACACCTGATCTAATGAGCATTGCATGTTATATGCAATTGATGAATCACTAAACTCTACCTCTTAAACTAATAATACAATATATGTTAATTCGTTGATTTTAAGTTAAAAAAATAATGAAGTCAGCTCATCGATTTTAGGGAACAAACAGGATTAACAGGAGGGCACTGGTTTACTCTATCACTAGAACAGCCAACAAGTGCTTAGTAAAAGCCTATTATATGCAAGGCGTTGAAGAATATACAGGTTGAACAAGGAAATAAGTCACAATCATAAATAATTATAAAAGAAGGAAGAGACGATTAATGGCAAAAGAAGGGGGAGGATAACAGGATTAAAAATAGCCTGTAAATGCAAAGCACATCACTTTTTTAATATAATGGTATGCCACTGAACTCACCTTTAATTGACTTGACATCTGAGGTCTTCTCTTGTTCTTTGCCTTTCACTGGAAGATAAAAAGAGCATTCATGACCAACTTCTGCAGTCAAAAAGATTCCATCTATATGATGTAAAAATTAGACAAGCTTTATCCTACCAGATGAATATTCAAAGTTGAACGATGGAATAACAGCCTTGGAGGGGGACAGGGCAAGACAGTTGTCAGGGGAAGCTTCTCTAAGGAAGTGACCTTTGAACATCATTCAGTCAAGAGCACTGAGTGTGCTTATGGAGAGACAGTGTCAGAACACCTGGGTTCAAATTCTAACTTGCCACTTTTTACACAGCCATGTGATCATGGACAAGTTACTTTACTTCTCTGGGTCTCAATTTCCTTGATTTATAAAATTAGAACAGTAATAACAACACCTACCTTAGAGGGTTATGAGTGAAAAAATAAAAAGTTGTAAAGGGCTTAGAAGAGGAACAGGCACACCGTTAGTTTAGGATGTTAACTAATATTATTAAAATATGCCTACTACTAGATGCATCTTGAAGAAAAAGAGTTCTTTGATTGTGTATCCTATCTGACTTGTGTATTCCTCTCACAACATCAAATACAAACATTCTAAACTTATATTCTAAATATCTAATACTCAAGGCTTAACCATTTCAGTCTCTTCTCTATAATACAGAACAGTAAAAATTCTACTGCAAATATGCTAATAATATAATATCCAAGAAAGGAAGGTACATGGCAGCTTAACCAAAGCGTGAACTCTTACAGGATCTGACAAAGGACTATTTTTAACCTTCCTTACTTTTCTTGTATTTTTTTTTCAACATTAAATTTTCTTTAACCCTACCATGAAAAGCCTATCAAAATAAGAAATCCCAAAATGTGACCATCTCTCTACTCGTGCTCTTAAACATTCAACACTGAAAGGCTAGTAGCAGGAAATAACTAGCTCTCAGAGTATCTGATAAATTAATCCATCAACAAATATGTGAGTGCCTCGTATGCGCTAGACACTCTCCCAGCTCCAAAAAAACAGTCCTGTCTTCAAAAAGTCTATCTACAAGAATGTGGAGACAAACATGGACAAAAATAAGATCATTTCAGGTACTGATCACTGCTGTTGGGAAGAAAAGAAAATAAGGAAATGTGGTAGAAGTAACTGGGTTGCAGCCCTCACTGTAGCATCTGCCAACTGACTACATCTCCCACTTGAAACATGAACTTGTCTTGACTTCCAAGGCACTCAACTCCCCTCGTTTTCTAGCTGCTCCTTCTCAGTTTTATCACCTGGCTAACTCCTCCTCTACCTACTGGGAGTTCCTCAGAGAAAGGGTTTGAGCACCTTTTCTTTTCACTACGTACACATATGTATTTCTTGGCTGAACTGACCCATTCTGAAGGTTTTCAGTACTGTAGATAAGCTATGAATCCTGAATTTCTATTTCTAGTCTAAATTCTTTTTGACCTTAAATTCATTTAGTTAACCATCTACCCATCCTCTTCTATAATTACACTGGTCCAAAATGGAACATACCATCTCTTCCCAAACCTGGTTTACCTTACTTTTCATTCTCTCTCATGAATGACACTCCCACCCCAGTTTCTCAGGCCAAAATTCTGAGTCATTCTTAACATGTCTCTCCCTTACTTCCCACACCCAAACCACTTCTAAGACCAATTGATTCTACCATTAAAACATACCTCCACAGTTCTACTTTGTTACTCTCAATACATTCTCATCAATCAGATCTAGTCAGTATTTCAAACAGAAAAGTAACACACAATCCAACTTCACCACATATTAGTGTTTTGCCTTACTTCCTTTACCCCCCTAAATATTATATAAAGGGTCCTATGACTCACTACCTGATCCCATTGCTCTTCTTCCCTTCCCAGAGATAAATATTGCCCTAACTTGGATGTGTTTACTACCATGTGTTTACTATCAAACAAACCATATATGTTTTTAGACTACTACTACATGCATGTAAAACATATAATTATTCTGTACATTTTTAAAAATGACATGAATAGTATTCTTCTACACATATCTGAAACTTGTATTCATCCCATAATTTGACTTGTCTATACTGATGCATTCATGTAGCTCTAGTTCATTCATTTTAGCTGCTTAATTCCTAAAATACACCTTTATTTATTCATTTTCCTGGTAATGAACACTTCGGTTTTATTTCCCAGTTTTTACTATCACAAACAATGATGTGATCAACAGGGGCACCTGGGAGGCTCAGTCGTTAAGCGTCTGCCTTTGGCTCAGGTCATGATCCCAGGTTCTGGGATCGAGCCCCGCATCCAGCTCCCTGCTCCGCGGGAAACCTGCTTCTCAGTCTCCCACTCCCCCTGCTTGTGTTCCCTCTCTCGCTGTGTTTCTCTCTGTCAAATAAATAAATAAAATCTTAAAAAAAAAAATGATGTGATCAATATTCTAGTACATGTCTTCCTATGCAGTCTATATGTAAGAATTTCTCTAGGAGGGGCGCCTGGGTGACTCAGATGGTTGAGCATCTACCTTCGGCTCAGGTAATGATCTCCAGGTCCTGGGATCGAGCCCCGCATCCAGCTCCCTGCTCCGCGGGAAACCTGCTTCTCAGTCTCCCACTCCCCCTGCTTGTGTTCCCTCTCTCGCTGTGTTTCTCTCTGTCAAATAAATAAATAAAATCTTAAAAAAAAAAATGATGTGATCAATATTCTAGTACATGTCTTCCTATGCAGTCTATATGTAAGAATTTCTCTAAGAGGGGCGCCTGGGTGACTCAGATGGTTGAGCATCTACCTTCGGCTCAGGTAATGATCTCCAGGTCCTGGGATCGAGCCCCGCATCCAGCTCCCTGCTCCGCGGGAAACCTGCTTCTCAGTCTCCCACTCCCCCTGCTTGTGTTCCCTCTTTCGCTGTGTCTCTGTCAAATAAATAAATAAAATCTTAAAAAAAAAAAATGATGTGATCAACATTCTAGTACATGTCTTCCTATGCAGTCTATATGTAAGAATTTCTCTAGGAGGGGCGCCTGGGTGACTCAGATGGTTGAGCATCTACCTTCGGCTCAGGTAATGATCTCCAGGTCCTGGGATCGAACCCGGCATCAGGCTCCCAGCTCAGCCGGGAGTCTGCCTCTCCTCCCTCTGCCCCTCTCCCTGCTTGTACTCTTTCTCTCTCAAATGAATAAATAAAATCTTTAAAAAAGAAGAATTTCTTTAGAACACTATAAATGTAACCGATAGGTAACCAATGATGGGCATTTTTAATTAAAGTGGCTATTTAATGAATATTTTTCAAATGGTATTTGATGGTATTTTTAATTCATTTCCTTGATTTCCTTTGAAGGGCTATCCTTTCGTATTTATTGGGTATTTAGGTATCTTCTTTTATGGGCTGGCTATTCAATTCCTTTGTCCTTTACTTATTTGTAGAAATTCCATACATAGTCTGGATACTAATCCTTTGTGTTGCAAATACCTTATGTGTATTTTATTGTATGGAAGCTTTAAATTTTAATGTGGCCAAATTTACATTATGTGGATTGTATTTTCCTACCTCATTGTTTAAGATATCCTTTCTTAGCCCAAGATCAGATTTTTTTCCCCCTGTATTTTCTTCCATATGATTTCAAATTTTGCTTTTTTAAAATTCTGGGCTCTTAGCTACCTGTATTTATTTCTATTTGTCAGAAATCAGGAAACTACAGCCCATGGGCCAAATTAAGTTTTTATAAATAAAGTGTTAGTTTAACACAGCCACGTCCATTTGTTAACATACTATCTATGGCTACAAGGACACTATCTTGTCTTTTACAGAGTTAGCAGACCCCTGATGTATATGATAAGAGATAGAAAAACCCTAATTGTTTTTTTTGCCAGAGGGATAGCAAACATCATTTACTGATTAGTCCAACCTTTCCCAACTGAACAGGAACTCTTTATATACCAAGTTCCCATACATACATAGGTCTGTTTCTGGGCATTTAATTCTACTGTCTTAATTACCTAACTATATAATCAGACTTTGGCAGGGCCAAGTCCTCTACCTTATTCTCTTTCGAAACTGTCTGCCCTATTAATTATAGGGTCAACTTGTCCTGATCCTAAAACCCCCATGGGAATTTTTAGAGTAGCACTGACTGAATGATTAATTTGGGGGAGAGTTCACATCTTTCTGGTATTGAGTCCTTCTATCTATGAACATAGTATACCTCTCCATTTATTTGGGTTTCCTTTCACGTCAAACTAGGTTTTGTAAACTCCATAAAGATTTTAGTCTTTTGCTTTTACTAGCATACAGCAGTACTTTAAACTGAGTTTTAAATACTTACATATAAATGCATTTATTTTAAAAACCCAGTTGAACTCTTAGGAGTTCTAATAGTGTGTGTAGATTTTCTTCAGTTTTTTAGATATGCAATCACGTTATCTGGGACTAATGATTCCTTTGTTTCCCCTCCCTCCCAAAACTTAAATTTCCCTTCTTTTTTGTTCTGTGTATGTGCTACTGTGAAGACTATATTAGCTTTCTTTTTGTCTAATATCCCTGATATGTTTTCCCATCCTTTTGCTTTTAACCTTCTCATGATCCTTTTTATACTAAACAGTATACAGGAGGAATCTAGTCTTTTCACTGAGACAGCCCATTTCTGCTTATTGTGATTACTGCTCTTGATTTCTAAAGATCATTCTTAAAACTTTAACTATGACTATGAATTTGTTGATTTCTCCTAGTAATTCTGTATATTTTGCTTTATGTATTTTGAGACTGATATTGGTGCAAAGCAGTTCAGAGTTTTATCTTCCTACTACCCTGTTCATTTTTTCATAATGTAGTGACCTTTTTAGCCCTGATAATGTTTTGCGCTTTGAAGTATGTCATCTGCCACACAGCTTCTTCTGGTTAACATTTGTCTGCTATATTCTTCTATCCAGTTATTTTCAATTTCTCTATGTCCTTATGTTTTAGTTGTGTTCCCAGTAGTTTATGGCTGGATCTTATCCAGCCTTTTTGTTTTTTAGCTATACAATCTTCTGCTAGAATTTAGTCT